TGTGTGTGTGTGTGTGTGTGTGTGTGTGTGTGTGTGTGTGTGTGTGTAGCAGGGAGGAGGTAGCACCATTGGTGAAGAAAATGGGTTTGGCAGTCAGGAAGCCTAGCTGGGAAGACAGCCCTGCTTCTTAGATGGCCACGTCCTTGACCTCTAAGGATCAATTCCTACCCACCCCTCCTTCCCTTTCCTCTTTAATTAAGTAGACAGATAATTGTATCTTCCCTATAAGACTGTGAAGATTAAATAGTCTAACACACCTGAAAGCACTTAGCATTGGGACAACTAATAGGCCGAGCAATGCTAGCTTTGACTATTAATAGGAACAGCAATGGGAAGCTCTGGGCATCCGTTCCATTGTCTACCCAGTGGGGTTGGTGTGGAGGTGAATGCTGTTATCCTCCCTCGATGGATGAGACAACTAGCCCATGGAGGTGCCGTCACCTGCTGGTACATGGCCTCATTAGGACACGGGGCCAGATTTCTCTAGCTTGCTCTCTGAGACACAGTTCTCTACAAGGGACATGGAGTTCTTTAACTGGCTTGGGTTGGAAAATCTAAATCTGCAGAGAAGATAAGAAATCTTAACTTCTGGCCACCCAGTGAGATATGGGAAATCAAGACAAGCCCTCCAAGCTTCTCATGCTGAACAACTTGATCTCAAAAATTTTTTTATTAATTTCATACACTGCCTCTTGATCATTCACCACCCCCCTTTCCCACTAACTCCTCCCAGGCCCACCCCCACCTCTATCCTCTCCCAACTTTGTGTCCTCTTCCTGGTTTTGTTTTTTAAAATTAATCATGGGTGTGAGGCCATCTCCTGCTGGATGGGTGACTTAACGGGGACCACACCCTTAATATGGACTCTCCCTCTCCGAGAGGCCATGGAATATCAGTATCTCTTCAACTAGGAATAGGACACTGGGATCCCCTCCCCCCTCTGTTGTAAATTTGAGAGTATCAGGCTAATACTGTTTATTAATAGCTCTATAATTTTTTTAGTGGTATTATCTAACCTGTCACAATAAGACATAGACACCTATTAGATTTTATAATTGCCTTATAACATCTTGGGCTGGGCAGATAATTCTGCCTACGCTATCTCAATAACTTCCCCATCCACCGCCCAGTCCCCATCCAATGCCATCTGCCTTAACCATTCTGATCTGGGCTACCTTCCATCCATAATTCCATAAATACTTGCTTATCCTTCATCTGGATTGCTCCTTTCCTGGACGCTTTCAGAGTCCTCCCAGAACACATGGTTCCTTTTCCATGCTAACCCATCACGGCCTCCTACTCTCTCCACTCTTCCAGCGTCTCCTTCCTACGATTCTCTTGTCCACAGAGCCTGGGAACCTTAGCCACACCTACCTCCTTCTGCCCTGTCCAGGTACAGGCCTTTTTTATTAACCAATCAGGAATAATGTCTTAGGCAGGTTTACACAAGGAGAGGGCAGTAACCAGATCTTGAGGGCCAATAATTAGCAGTAAAATACAAGCATCAGCCCAATCCCCAACATCCTCCCTCTTGGAATAGTGACTGGCTTGGTCTTGTGCAGGTCTTGTTGAGGCAGCCACAGCCGTTACGAGTTCATCAGTACAGGGTCCTGTTGTGTCCAGAAGACACCTCCAGTCTGCTGCTCTCTTACAGTCTTTCTATCTGCTCTTCTGTGATGGCCCCTAAGTCTTGAGGGTGGGGGTGTGATACAGACTTCCTGTTTGTGGCTGAGAACTCTGTAGACACTGTCTACATGTTGGGCACTTGTGAATTCTTCACCAGCTACTGTCTACTGCACCAAGGAGCTTCTCTAGTGAGGCTTGAGCTCTTCACTAAGCTGTGGCTTTCGAGATACAAAATAAGGGGCAGTAGGCTATTCTTAAAATGGTAGACCTGAATCCTCTGGGCTCACACTAGTGAGAGACTGCGGATCCTGTCTATTAAAAAAAGTCCATGCCGTGGTGGGTCATGGACTTCAGACTCCAGCCCACTGCTTCATGTTGACAGCCCCGTGCTACTCTTCTGTGGGATTCAGCCTTGACAGGAAGTCACCCCTATTTTCCTTCCAGCTCCTTTGACCCGCTGAGACCTCACATCCCTGTTTCGGAGTCTCCCACCACCAGTGGTTATTGATGAGCTTAGACAAGGAGCGCTGGAAGGGGGACTGGGAAGTTGAATGTTCTCTATGAATGCGATGGCACCGAGGGGAAGTCACACCGAGCACACCTGGAAAAGTCAGCAAATGTTTGGTGCGCATGCACAATCTGCTTGCTTAAGGGATTATGGGTGTTGTTGTTTGTTTCGTTTTGCTTGCAAGGATGGAGTGTTTCCAGGGACCATATTTCTGGTTGGATCCGCACAATTTCAGACGGACCTTTCACTTCCGCATTGATCTCTGAGGTTCTTCACTTGGTGAGTGTATGGTTTCCTGGTACCACTCTGTACCATGGGCAGGAAGGTTGGGTGTGGAGACTCTGTCCCTCAGAGGGCAGCATCTATCTGCGGTAACGGCGCTCCTGGCTGTCCGTCACATCCCACCTGCGCAGTGCAGAGGTGAGCATCTGTCTCAGTCCTGATGGATGACTCCCACTGAGACTGTACGGTGGACATGCCTCACTCCAGAAAGCCAGTCTGCCTTTCCCTGCCAGGACCAGCAGAGGAGGCCACTCCCCCACCCCCGCCCCCAACCCCACCGCTGGGCTCTGACAGTGAGTCAGCAGGGCTGAGGCCCACTTTCCTGACACTTGGAGCCCACCTGCTTCAGGCCTCCCACACCTCAGAGGTTGAGAAAGGAAAGCAGGGTGTTGAGCCAACACCATTCAGTGCTGCTGAATGAGCATGTGGAAGCCGGATCTTCCTCAGGGGCCATCCACCTTAATGTTATGAGACCAGGTCTTGGATCAGCCTTGAACATGCTAGGCTGGTGGCCCAGTGAGTTCCCGGGATCTGTTTCTCTCTTCCCCGTGCTGGGATCACAAGTATATGCCACCATAGTCAGCTTTTTCACTTCAATTCCGGGGGTCTAAAATCAGATCCTTGTGCTTGAACAACAAGCAAATTCTGCCGATTCAGCAGGGGAAGAAAAGTTGTGATTCTCCACAGGTGACCTGAGTTTGTCTTGAGTGTGGTGACGTCAGGCTCTCCCCATCAGCCCTGCTTTGCTGCCTCTGTGTGCATCCTGACTATCGTGCTTTGCTTCCTTTTTTTGGTAATTCTCAGTCTGAACACAAATTGACATCAGAGTCAACCAGTCAGTCAGGTTTCTGCACACACACATGGTACCCTGCCCAGGCATTCATTGCTAATCAACCTGTCTGGCCTGGTGTTCACAAATTTTCAAGACACAAGTCTAATAAGGATGAGAAAGCTGAGGTGTTACCACAAATAAGGCACTTTTATTAGTTATCATTCCTTTTATAGTTTTGTTTTGTTTTGTTTTGTTTTTTTGAGACAGAGTTTCTCCGTGTAGCCTGGCTGTCCTGGAACTCTCTGTAGACCAGGATTGCCCCTGTGTATGTGTGTGTGTGAATGTTGTATTTATTTTTATTTTATGTGCTTTGGTGTTTTGCCTCCATGTATGTCTGTGTGAGGGTGTCAGGTCCCCTGGAGTTGTGAGCTGCCATGTGGGTGCTGGGAGTTGAACACAGGTCTGCTGGAAGAGCAGCCAATGCTCGTAAACACTGAGCCATCTCTCCCACCCCTTATATTCTAATCTAGAAACTATTGGCCACCAGGCACTTTAAAGGTTTCAAGCCATTAAACACAACTATTTTGAGCCTGTATCGACTGACTTCCAGACACTGGTAATTCCTGAACATGCTTAATTGCATACTCTTGGCCTTTACACACCCTCCTGTCCTGTTTGGTGCTCACATCTCTATGGTTTAATTTCTATGGTTTAATCTCCTATTGCTGTCTCTCGTCCCTGCTGCAGACATTTAATTAATGGTTTAAGTGACCCTTTTGCAGTTTTGAGAGAGAGAAAAAAAAATGTTTACTAACAGTAGTACCTGGGTGCGGCCAGAGGACCCTAATCTCAAAGGAGAGATTTTGCGGGCCCTAAAGGCCTGGGAGAGGCTCTGACAGCTTTCTTCTCTGCCTGATCCTCACCACTTTTCCTGTGTCCACGCCTGTGTTGCCTCCCTGCCCAGACCGCTGATCCCACAGCACACACTTGAACACTCTGATGCCAGGCATATCCTGTCGGGACTGAGTTTCCTGTTATCAGCTAAACTGTCAGCCTGTCTCTGGGATTAATTTCATAAAAGACGGTACTGGTCAAGAGATCATACCCTCTTTGGCCACTCAATGGCCTCTAGGGCCTAAAATTCAAACAGGAAATCGCTGCCTCTGTCTGAGCTGGAACTTGCCTGATAAATCCAGAAGGTGGCGCACTTGTCCTCTCGATCTCATCTTGGCCTAGTAATGAAAACAAAAGACCAGGAGTGGAAAAGGTGAGGTGGGAGCCGACCGCTCCCAAAACCCCAGCTGGGGAGAGGCTACCTGTAAGTGAAGCCGTCAGATCCAGGCCTGTTACCTCCAACAAAGGTTGGAAGCAGGGGAAGGGAGTAGGC